CCCCCCACGGGCGATCCTTCATTAAATTTGTCGCCGAATGCCCGATTTCTGCGTGCGCACTGTTCGTGAATGAGGCCCGATAAATGGAGAGCAACTGACCCCACGAGGCCTCCGAAGATCTCGCAGACGTAGGCGTAGTCGCCGCCCGACTTGGGGATGGCCACGCCCAGCTCGGCGTAGCACAGCGAGCCCAGGGCGGCCACGCCCCCGCCCAGCATCCACACCAGCAGGGCCGCGCCCACCGAGCCCGAGTGCTCCAGAACGCCTTTGGGCGAGATGAAGATGCCCGAGCCGATGATGTTCCCTGAGGGGCGACGACGGCCGCGGTCAGTCCACTGCCGGTGCAACAATTCATCACAGGGTCATCGCGTTCATCCATCGAGACCTTGTTCGACATGAAAGTATCCAAATACTCCAAATTTTAGCCTCTCAACCGTAAATATTGTCGCCCGTGAAAACAGATGAATTATCTTTCAGTTTCGTCAGTGTCGTTTTGCGCACCGTGTTTTACTTTTTACTGTATTCGTATCCCTCGAGCTAGCTTCTGTAGCCGGGGATCGGATCGCCAAGGTCCGCCGCCCAACTCACTTTGCACCCGACCCCTATGGCCCCTCCCATAAGGTGGTGAGCCCGGATACAAGCGGCCTCTCGCCCCAAATCGGGTGGCAAAGGTGCAATCGAACGCCAGGTAAACAAAACGCTCAACCGATGTAAGCAGTCGGGTTTTGACAAGCAGTCCCCGACTTCCCGGCTGTATCGATTCGGCAAGGACGCGACGTGTTCTGAAAGTGCTCAAATCTTTGTGCCGCAATCCACACACCAAACGCTTGCGCTCCGGTCATTCATTCAGAGTGACACGCGCACGCGCGGCCTCAGCCTAGATGACGCTCACGCGACAGGAAGCGAGCCGGTCCGAGTCCCCGCTCATCTGCTTGACTTGGACGTCATCGCAACTTCAACGCGGGGACGTCAGTCGAGAAACACCCGTCGACTGACGGTGGGGATTAGGATGAGTGCACGCCGACGAGCGCGCGGTTCACCGATGATGATGGTGCAGGCGCTCAGCAGGCCGATCTCCTTCTTCAGGGTCACGCGGTCGGGGACCCGGGTCCCGTCGTCACGCGCCGGCCCGTCCATGCTGGCCTTCCCGGCTCCGCTGGGCTGCTCCTGCCGGTGCTCTCGCTTGTCCCGGTCTGGCTCCGTGGCTGGCAGTGGCGCTCCCAGCGCTCCCCTCTCTCGGGATTCGGGCCTCCTCAATGGGCCGCGCTTGCGCAACAACCTGCCTCTGCTCGGGCTTGAATGTTAAGTAGGCGCGACTCGCCCGTGAGGCGTTCAGGGACACCCCGGGGAGAGCCGGCACGTAGACAGGGGAACCCGGATTAAACGGAGAGAAAACGGCGTCCGGTCCACTCAAAAGGCCCCTTTTGTAGAGAAGCTGTCAAAGTCTGTTCGCAGAATTGGCAACCGTGCCAATCAACAGACGGAGACAACCTCAGCAAAACAAGAATCATCTTCATCTGTCGGCGATCTTAATAAGGGCCGCCGAATGAGGGCCGGGCCTAGCCAGTGCCAATTATTTCACGTGTGTCTTGGCTGCGCACTTGTCAATCATCTTCGTCAAAGCAATGTAACTATCCTGTTCTTCTCTGATACTAAAAGTACTAATAATTAAAAATAAATAAATAAATGAAAAATGTTGAAGACTTAAAAAGATGACCACGATAGAGCCCCGGCAGTGAGCTGAAACAGAAGGAATTGCCTCGTTTTGTTTAGACCGGGGGTGCTCAACTGAAGATGTACTTTTCAAGCGACCAAGCGCCCGCGATTGACCCGCTACCTCTTGTGCACGCCAACACGCATAATATATCAATATTCTTGATGGCCCCTAACATGAACCAAACCTGAAAACAAAGTGGACTCCAGAGTGCGTGAAACGGAAATCACTCCCTACCTGAGGCGAGTGCCATCGGCGAATTGCAGATGGAACGAACTTTGAATGACAATAATAATAACACTAAAAAGATATATATCGCAACGGCTCCGATCGCAAGCTGCAATTGCAGACTGTTGACCGCTAACAAATTCGGGTGAAGGAGGGTGAAGGTGACCTGCTTTTTGTATGTCATTGTATTGACAGCACACAGCTGTCAATGACGACGCTCCCGACAGCCGTCGTTATTGACTTGGGACCAGTTTGTGGGAGATCGGTGATTCGCGATCGACGTATTGGGCACCCTTGGTACTTTAGACCAACGTGGACGTCATGCTTTAAACCTTATACCGGAATTATGAGGTAGAACTTTTCGTTTTTTTTTCTGGTGTGGCAGAAATACGCCTCGGCGCCCGGTCCTCAAGCCACAAAGTGCGCTTTAGCATTGGCTAATTTGGCCTCGCGGCCGCGCTTTTGTTTTGCTATGAGGCAGACGTGAACCACTCGCGTCCAGTCGCCGGTTGCCGCCCTTTTTCAAGTCTTCCTAGCCAATTGGAGTTATTCCAGGATTTCACAACTTGATTCGAATGTGTTTAAGTGACTTTGAGGTCCACCTCAAAGTGATTTGGTGATCAAAAATTGGGATACAAGTCAGGGATCAATGTGTTGGGGACGACTCAAACTCGCGCCGAAACATGACGACAGGACTTTAATCCCATTTGGAATCATGATTGAATCTTCACTCGAGTTATCTGCTTGAACAGTACGGTCAGCTTGAATGAAAAAGAATCGGTTTGCAGTCAGCCTCTGAAATGAGCTCGCGATGATGATTAAATGGCCTTATCGCGGCTGAGTGGTCACTTGTTTGTTGACTTTTTTTTTTTTTTTTAATGATTCATTCCAGACACGACGACCTTTGACAGCAGGCTTGTTTGCAGTGCACGTTGGGTTGTCACACATCGACAGGAGAGTTTGAGCAGCAGGCAATTCACCATCAGGTAAGGGCAGATTTTTATTCGTCACTTATTTTGACCTTCTTATTCTTTTTGGCTTGGACTCGACGTGACGATGAGTTTTGCTTTTGTCGTCTGCATGCGCTCACTGATCACATTTCTGACTTTACGATTCTCCGCACGCAATCATAAATGTAAATGAACATTCCCATCAAAATGAAGATTTTTTTTTTTCGGGCCTGTCCCATGTGGATTCTTTTTCTTAGGCCAGTGCGCATGTAAATTTGGTTTGAAAAAAGAAATCTGCTGCCTTTCTTTGTTTGTTTTTTTTTTTTGTGTGTGTTTTCAAAAATAACATTGAGAAGCAGCCGTCAGCTGTGTGTTACTTTGGATGATCACGATGGGCCGATTGTTTTTTTTTTCTTCTTTTCCCAGGGAAGCTGTTGTTGCGGCGTCTCGGATGATGACGTCAAAGCGCAGCCCGCTCACCACGCACGTGCTCAACACCAGCGACGGCGTTCCCGCCGCACGAGTGTCCCTCAGCCTGCATCGACTCGACTCGCAGCTCAAGCTCTGGAACATGCTCAACATGGGGTACGACACAGATGAATGTCAAACATGTCGGCTCCCACTGGTGGTGTGCAAAAGAATCACAAAATGAAGCTTTGCGACTGTGCATCCGTCACGTTACGGTGACTTTTCCTTTCATCCAGCCCGCTTCAGTTGCATTCAACTTTTACAAGGCATTTTGCGGTTCGTCTCTCAGAACAATTTGTTTTGAAGCATTTTTAATTTAACTTATGCGCAAGGAATGAGCATTGGCATTGTTTTTTTAAAAAACTTGTGAATGAGGATAACATCTATGTGTGGGCTCTTGATATTGTTGGATTAATGAACACAGCGGGCCTTTCTTTGCCTCCTCCCGGAATACTGCCTCCACTCTTACTATGACACACATTTTCTTTCTTTTTTTTTTTTTTTTTTGTCATGTCATATGTCAGGATGACCGACGAAGACGGCCGCTGCCCGGGTCTCATCAGCCGGGAAGCATTCTTGCCGGGAATGTATAAGTTGCGCTTTGAGACGGGCGCATACTGGACCAGCCTGGAACGCGACTCCTTCTATCCCTACGCTGAGGTCACTTTTTCGACACGCTCACAATGTCGATTTTGAATGATGTTTTAGTCATATTAAGGAGGGACTTTCCATATTGTACGAATGTGATCAATTTCACTTTTGATAGATAAGTCTTTTAAACACTTGGCTTTTTTTTATGTATTCTTTTTTTTTTTTTTTTTTTTTTTAACAGTACAATAGAAGAACAGCATATTTACCTTTCTATCCCTACGCTGAGGTCACTTTTTCGACACGCTCACAATGTCGATTTTGAATGATGTTTTAGTCATATTAAGGAGGGACTTTCCATATTGTACGAATGTGATCAATTTCACTTTTGGTAGATAAGTCTTTTAAACACTTGGCTTTATTTATGTATTGTTTTTTTTTTTACAGTACAATAGAAGAACAGCATATTTACCTCGCTCATACTTTTGAGTTACGAGGTACAAAAAGACAGAACCTGAACCAGAAAAAAATTGCTTTGTTTTATTTTGCCCAATGCTCCAGTCAAACTTATCACTTTAAAACGTGAACTTTATCTTCAGCCTGCTCCTTTTTTGCTTTAGCCTTCGAGACAAGCCAACGGAAAAGCACAACACTGACTGCTAGTTCTTTGACGCTCACTGAACTGGAATTTTGTGTGACTTGAGAATTCCCAATTCAACGACCTCAGCGGTGTTCAGCTGCAGAGATGGAGTGCCATTCATTGACCATTATCCAATCAAGTGATCGATCTTCTTTCCATTCATGTGTGTGAACCACAGGTGGTGTTCACTGTCACGGATTCAATGCAAAACATCCACCTGCCGCTGCTTATGAGCTGCTTCTCCTACAGCACCTACATGGGAAGCTGAGGATCGCCGCACCCCATTGTCATGAAAAGACTCGCGCACGCGCACACACACACACACACACACACACACACACACACACACACACACACACACACACACACACACATGCTTACAATACATACATACATAGAGAGAGAGCGAGAGAGAGGGAGCCTTCACATGTCAACCACACATATTGATGAAGTTGACTATGAAGCCCACACACACACACACACACACACACACACACACACACACACACACACACACACACACACACACATATATGCTTACAATACATACATACATAGAGAGCGGGAGAGAGAGCCTTGCCATGTCAACCACACATATGGATGAAGTTGGCTATGAAGCTTTGACCCGGCCAGTGGCCAGCCATTTGGACTTGGCTGCCGCCAACTAGGAGTATCAAGTTAAGTAGTATAGAGTAGTATGGTGTAAACACTGTTAATTATCAAATTGAAGATCATGTGGTGGGCAAATTTTATGTTCAGGGTCCACATTTTGATTTTTAAAGTAGACAGATGGTTTGCATCATTCACAAATCAAGTTTATAAAATGTGAACTTAAATTCTGTTCTCATTTTCTTGTATGATTATTGATAATTAATTTACTCAGCAATAATCAACCAGGTTTATTTTATTTTATTAAGGACTTTCAAAAAAGTGTTGTGTGTGGTCTTCAGCCATTCCTTGCCCCGTCCGTCTATGGTTTGACAACTTTAACCTATTGTTTGTGTTTTGCAATATTTCTATTGGAGTTGAATTCAGGAACAAGTGATACAATTATTAACTTGTTTTTCTGGTTGCTTGTGCTAACAATAAATATATTTAATTCAAAATTTATTCTTTTGTTAAATGATGTATTTTGTCATCTGAGTTAAAAAAAAAAAAGTACCGTCACGCTTTTCTCCGTGTCAATATTTCTATTGGAGTTGAATTCAGGAACAAGTGACACAATTATGAACTTGTTTTTCTGGTTGCTTGCGCGAACAATAAATATATTTAATTCAAATTTTATTCTTTTGTCATAGGATGTATTTTGTCATCTGAGTTTAAAAAAAAAAAAAGCCGTCACACTTTGCTCCGTTTTTGGGACGGACGATAATTTCTCTCCACCAATCAGGGAGAAGATCTACCCTTGTGTCTTTCATAACGCCTGCCTTAAATTAAGTCATGATAAAACAGAATAAACCCTTAATATACTTTAATAACAAAAATATAGGTTTTAGGATAACTATTAATTAGTGCCGAAGCATTCACATACCCTAATACGAGTGCTTCTGGGTTATTTTTCTTCCTCCATTTATGATCAGGCGCTGCAAGATCCTATGGGTCTTTGCATGATCTGGGTTGACATTTGACGTTGGTCCTTGTTCAATAACAGCACAACGATGAGGTAGAAGAAAACGAGTTTGACTCAGATAAGTTGGATCTTTGGGCTCCCCTTCGGTTGGTAGGCACAGGGAGGATGTCGCAGCTTTTGAGGCTCCTCTCAGCGGCCGCCCGGCCTCTGTGCTACCGGGCAGTCGCGACTCGGCTGTACGCTGTCCCCACAGCACGTCGTTTCATTGGCGAATACACTCGCTTCGCCGTGCTGGTAATTAACTCTTGTTTCAAAGTTATTCGCTTAAATTAATAGCGTACCTTTCTGTTTATAAATGATGTGAATTATGTCAATCGTTGACCTAAAGACTCCATTTGGAGAACCGTGGCTCAGTTTACAGGTGAGTGGAACTGCTTCTGTCAAAGTCGTGGACGGTCGAAGCTCTCCTTTTTGGTGTTAATTACGCCACAACAAAATTAATTGTACACGAAATCATTCATTTATTCAGGGCAGACGTTTCTTGTCCATGGAGCTAATGCAATTATTGAGTGACAATTCCGACACAACTTCATTACTCAAATTGAGACGCGAACACTGAAAGCTCGTGACGTCGTAGCGTTTCTCGACTTTCTTAATGTATTGTGTACGCCACAAGCAAATGCCTGTTTGACTATAAAAATGCAAACGTTGCTTTTCACACTGAAAGCTCGTGACGTCGTAGCGTTTCTCGACTTACTTCATGTATTGTGTACGCCACAAGCAAAAAATACCTGTTTGACTACAAAAATGCAAACGTTGCTTTTTCTAAAAGAGCTTAACGCCAGGCAAAGAGCTGACGTGAGAGCTAATTGATTTGAGGGGCGACTCCGTGGTCGCATAACGTGATAATATTGCGAAGTCTCCATGTGAACATTGGGAATTGCCGTCATTGTAATTTACTGATTATTTTCCCCCCATTATTCATGTGACACTCCTGCGAACAAAAACAACAAAAAGCATAGACCAGCATGGATTTGTTGTGTTTTTATGCTGGTCTCGCCGGTGACAGCAAAAAGCAAAACAAAAGAGTTTGAGATCCGAACAAGTGAACCTTCAGTCGCTGGGCAACCCGCTGTACCATCTGAGCCAAAGTCACCCAGCAAGATCGACATGCTCTTGTTGCCCCCCTCAGGGAGCTGGTGATGCCAGCGAGACTGCAGCTGCTCACCGGCTATCACCAGCTTCTGACAGGGCCCAGCAACGGCTGTGGCTCACAGATATTCCTTTCCCACCCAAAAACAAAAACTTGGTGCTCGTTGGGCGCCAGGCGGCCGGCGCTGTGCTTAGTGGGTGCTTAACAAGTTCTTACGATGGAACGTGTTCGCTTTTCCATTGGCAAAGAGCCAAGTAGGAGCGATGTCATTACGTCATCGTAAAGCATCCTTACGTCACTGTTTATGTCGACGTTGACCCAAGAGCACCTGCGCTTTTAATAATGACGTTCCCCTTTAGCATCTGCAAGGCAACTTAGCATAGCATCGATTACACTTGCACAACGCCGTCCCCTGACATAGTTGATGCCAGAGTCTGGCTCAACACATAAGTAGGGGGCCAGCTTAAGCACCTGTTTCACCGGCTCAAGAGCCAATTTCGCTGGTGGAAAAAGAAAGAACCGGCGCTAACCTGGGCAGTGGCCCGGAACGAGCGCTAGCGCACGGGCGCTGGAAAAGGGCTAACAGTTGATAAAGCGGGTTTCCCAGTGATCCAAGGCTGTTTGAATTTCGGCTCTTTTGTTTTGTTTTGCTTTTGCAAACACAACCAAATTGACTTGGCACAGGCAGTCAATAGTGCGATGAAGAATAAAGTTGGCAGTGGAACCCGTTCAGAGAGATGTTTACGACACCACAATAACAAATGCTATTAAAAGATACCACGGGATAGGAGAATATATTTGTCATTTGCATATTGCATCAAGACAATTTGTCTCGGTCCGACCCCCGACGATAAAAAAACGGTGCTTCCGGTTTCTTTTTCAGAGTGCCCGTCCGACCGCGGCCGACTTTGTGTCCATCCGTAGCTTCCGGGTGGCTCGGCGACGTCTTTATTCCAATGAGGCCAAAGGTGAACGCCCACCCGGATCCAATCTGACAGCAATGAGGGAAAAAAAAAAAAAAAAGGTGTTTTTGATCGTCTGTGGTTTCCAGATGGGAAAGGAGATGGCGCAGGAGGACGAGGCGGACGGGCAGGAGGCGGGAAGAGAGGAGGGGGAGGAGCCAAAAAAGACTGGTGGAGTCGAATGCAGAAGGTTTGGCTTATGAAATCCGGGACGTCTTGCAGTTTCACGCAGAGCACCACAAAAGTGGGACGTTGCCGCCATGGGTGCGCGCTTCGCCACGGCCGCCCGACATCACGCCGTCAGATGGCTGGCGGATGTTGTCATGCGGCGTGAAGTAATCCAGGCGTGTGTGACAGCCACGGTTGCATTCAACAAAGTGGGATTGCTTTTCTTCCGCCCGTCGTGCTCGTTGAAGTTGGAGACTGTTGACTTAAGCTCGGGATCCAGGGGGGCCCACGTCCGCCTTTGCAATGAGCAAAATACGTGAAGAAACGCGCCGGTCACGTCAATGCGTGACGCGCAGATAAAAGCAAGCGTGATGCGCGTGAATGAAGGAAAAGCCCATGTCAATGGAATGAAAGTAACCAAAAAAATATATATGCGACGGAATAAACGTTCATGCCTGCGTCTGAAATTGTTGCACTTGCCGCTTGCGCTCAGGGCGACTTCCCGTGGGACGAGAAGGACTTCCGCTACCTGGCGGTCGCGGCGGCCGGCGCCGGCTCCACGCTGCTCTACTTGTACTTCCGCGACAACGGCCGCGAAATCAGCTGGAAGGACTTTGTGCACCGCTATCTGGGCCGCGGCATGGTAAGGCGTCTCGGCGGGCCTCGCTGAGCACGTGATCGGGACTTTTTTTTTTTCTGTGTGTGAGTTTAGGTGGATCGCCTGGAGGTGGTCAACAAACAGTACGTGCGCGTCATCCTGATGCCTGGCGCAGATGCCGAAGGGGTGAGTGCGAGCATGTTGAAAACAAGCATTTGCAACCGAAGCAGGCGGCAGCGCTGGACTGTGTCAGGCAAGCCAAACTTGACTGACGCTGGCCCTGAGCCAGTACATTTTCAAAAAGAAATACTTTGACATCAACGCGTTCTTCCTTTTTCGAAGATAGATGGATAAAGCGTGGCACGGTGACGGAGTGGTTAGCACGTCCGGCTCACAGCGGTTTTCCCTTTGGAGCTTTGACTTTATCGTCATATTTTGACTGATTCGTCGCAGCAAAATGCCTCTTCTAAAGGAAAAAAAAAAAACTTGATTTTCATTGCACTGCAACTTTTCTTTTTTCCTCCCAATGATGAATTTGTAACCTGGGGGGGTCTGGAAAAAACTGCCACCCCGTGGCGTGCGCAGAGCTACGTGTGGTTCAACATCGGCAGCGTGGACACGTTTGAGAGGAACCTGGAGACGGCCCACTTGGAGCTCGGCATGGAGACGTCGCGCCGGCCCGCCGTGGTCTACAGCTCCGAGAGCGACGGGTCAGCGCCGTACCTCGCCCGCGCGCTCCCGCGCGCTCCCGCGGCCTCTCATCGCCCCCGTCGGGCGTGTGCGCAGGTCTTTCCTGATGAGCATGATCCCCACGCTGCTCCTCATCGGCTTCCTGCTCTTCACGCTGCGCCGCGGGCCCATGGGGGCGGGGCCCAGGGGTGGCCGGGGCGGGCCCTTCGGCATGAGCGAGTCCACCGCCAAGATGATGAAGGACAACATCGAGGTCAAGTTCAAAGACGTGGCGGGCTGCGAGGAGGCCAAGCTGGAGATCCTGGAGTTCGTCAACTTCCTCAAGAACCCGCAGCAGTACCAGGACCTCGGAGCCAAGATCCCCAAGGTGCCACCTCGGCCTCCTCCAGTCAAATCGGCGTCGGGGTTTCACCAAATCAAGTTCCAACCTGCGCGCGCTTTCCTAGGGCGCCGTACTGTCGGGCCCTCCCGGTACCGGCAAGACGCTTCTGGCCAAAGCCACCGCCGGCGAGGCCGACGTTCCCTTCATCACCGTCAACGGCTCGGAATTCCTGGAGATGTTCGTGGGCGTCGGTCCCGCCAGGGTGAGCACGCCGAACGGGACGCTCCCAAGTTGTCGCGCTACGCCCGATTTCCCCCAAAAGGGGGCTTGAGAGAGACGGTGGCGACCGTTGATCGACAGCGCGGTGGATCGAAGTCCGCGATGTTGGGAGACCATTAAAAAAAAAAAAAATGATTGGCAGGTGAGGGACATGTTCGCCATGGCCAGGAAGAACGCCCCCTGCATCCTTTTCATCGACGAGATCGACGCGGTGGGCCGCAAGCGAGGCGGCGGCAACTTTGGCGGCCAGAGCGAGCAGGAGAACACGCTCAACCAGCTCCTGGTGGAGATGGACGGTGGGTCGCGCCGGGCACGCGGCCTCCTTGGACGCCCGCCCGTCGCCCGCAGCTCACTATTTTTTTTTTTGCCGTTTGTCAGGCTTCAACACGGCCACCAACGTGGTGGTCCTGGCCGGCACCAACAGACCCGACGTCCTCGACCCCGCCCTCATGAGGCCCGGCCGCTTCGACAGGCAGATCTACATCGGTAACAAAACAAAAAAGTGTCAAGCGCAGTGCGCACTTGGCGAAAGCAACTACAAAGGGGCCTCCGAGTCAAATTTGTTGTCGTGGCTCCCGTCAGGCCCCCCGGACATCAAAGGGCGGGCGTCCATCTTTCGGGTGCACTTGCGACCCATCAAGTTGGACCCCAACGTGGACAAGGACACGCTGGCCAGGAAGATGGCCGCCGCCACGCCCGGATTCACCGGCACGTAACGGCCGAAAACGCCTGAGCGCCCCCCCAAAACGAAAGGTGATGATGACGTGCGTTTTTTTTTTCTTTGGGGCGGCGTGCGCGCGCGCAGGGGCCGACATCGCCAACGTCTGCAACGAGGCGGCGCTGATCGCGGCCAGGCACCTCCACCCGCACGTCGGCCATAAAGACTTTGAGCAGGCCATCGACAGGGTCATCGGAGGTCAGTGCGGGATGCCGCTCGGCGTCCTGATTCATTTTCCCGTTTGGCTTCGGAAGTTCTTCCCTTCTCGCTACCTTCACTTCCAGATTTGCCTTCCTTGTTTCACTTCTCCGGGCTACATCTTGCTCAGCTCCTTCCTTTTCTTTTGTCTCCGCCCCCAATGTCTTGGCTCACTTCCGAATTTCACTTCCTGGTCTTGGTTCCCTTCCTCGAGCGGTCGTCTGCCGTCCCGTTTCAGGTCTGGAGAAGAAGACGCAGGTGCTGCAGCCGATGGAGAAAAAGACGGTGGCCTACCACGAGGCGGGCCACGCCGTCACGGGCTGGTTCCTGCAACACGCCGACCCGCTGCTCAAGGTGGGCAAACGCCGTCGACGCGGCGGCCGGGGCGGCTCAGACCGACGCCTCTCGTTGTGCCCGCCGGCCAGGTGTCCATCATCCCCCGCGGGAAGGGGCTGGGCTACGCGCAGTACCTCCCCCGCGAGCAGTACCTGTACAGCCGCGAGCAGCTCTTTGACAGGATGTGCATGATGCTGGGAGGGCGCGTGGCCGAGAGCGTCTTCTTCGGACGCGTCACCACCGGCGCGCAGGACGACCTCAAGAAGGTGACGCAGTCGGCGTACGCGCAGGTACGCACGAGCGCCCGCCCTGCCCGCCCGCTTGCTCGTTTGCGGCGGGGCTTCTGAAAAGCGTTGCCGTTGCGCGACGGCGGCAGGTGGTCCAGTTCGGGATGAGCGAGAAGGTGGGCCAGGTGTCGTTTGAGCTGCCGCGCCAGGGCGAGATGGTCCTCGAGAAGCCCTACAGCGAAGCCACGGCCGAGCTGATAGACGACGAGGTCCGGGCGCTGGTGGAGCGGGCGTACGCGCGCACGCTGCAGCTGGTCCAGGAAAAAAAGGACCTGGTGGAGCTGGTACTGCCTCATGACGCTTATATTCGAGTGGAAATGAAAAAAGAACGGCCAAGTGTCGTAAGCCGGCTTCTGACCCGACGAGCGTTGCGTGCTTAGGTGGGCAAGCGGCTGCTGGAGAAGGAAGTCCTGGACAAGGCGGACATGCTGGAGCTGCTGGGCCCGCGGCCCTTTGAGGAGAAGTCCACGTACGAGGAGTTCGTGGAGGGCACGGGGAGCTTGGACGAGGACACCAGCCTGCCCGACGGCCTGCGGGATTGGAACCGAGAGCGCTCGGGCGGCAAGCCCGACGACGACGACGAGGCCGCCGCCGACGCTCGGGACAAGCAGCAGGCCGGATAGACTGCGGGCCCCCGATCGGACCCCGCGTCGCTGTCAGGAAGAGCGCCCGACCGCTCGCGTCGATCGACTGACGCGGCCTTCCCGTGGACAGTTTTTAATTTGAAAAAAACTAAAAGTATTTATTGGCTGCAAGCGTCAGCGGTCGGATGGATGGCAATTGTCCGCAGCTTCAGCTTTTAAAGGCAACAAACCAAGCGGAACCATTGAAAGAGATGATGAAAGGTTTTCCATCCTTTCCCTCACGGATGAAAAAATGTGGACCTCTCATTCTTGCCGTGGTGATACGGGCTGATTTAAGGGGCGGACCTGTCACGATGACCGGCCCGGATTTCGCTCGACACCGCAGCTCCGCTTACCCTTTGGCTTTGACGCCATTCGCCTAGAGTGGCTCTTTTACGGTGGGACTTGATCCTCCTCCTCATGACGCTGGCTGAGACACTGGGTGGGGGTCTGATCACGTCGGCTTGCTGCACTGCGAAGTTGGCAAAATCACATTTTCGCAAGTTGTCGTGCAATTGATGGCCTGGCAGGCACTCCAGACGTCCGGATGCCTTCATTTAAACTTTTTTTCATGCCGTTTTTGGACTTGGTGCCACTGGCCCCGCCGACTGTGATGTCACAGGAACTTTTTGGCAGTTTCAACCTTTTTTTTTTAAAGAATGGGAAATATGATGTAAAAGTGGAAAACTGTCTTGTATTTTTCAAAGAGTCACGACAATAAAATGTCAGTGATGTTGTCGACAAGGCATTTTTTTGTCTTCACAGAACATTTTAAACCTTCTAAAACAGAAAAACAATTTGAAAAGAAAGCGCCCTTTTTTGTAAGATTGTAGCTTTTTTTTCCCCCTTTGGTATGAATACTTTTTCCTAAAAGAAAAAAAAAAGGCCACTAACTTCGAACATTTTTATCCTCCCCCAAGTTTACTCTGGGAAAATCAAAATGGCATTATTTTATTTTCTTCTGACCTTTGCCCCCCCCTCCGTAAAAAAATCCTTCACATATGATTCTCTCTCAAAGAAAGCAACTTCACTTGTCTAATAGGAACATTTTCACATTTCTAAAAAAAAAAAAAAAAGCTCCCTCTCTGACATCATTGTCATTTTCATGATTTTCTTGCCTGAACATTATTTTTTCGAAACTTGTCCTCAAATTCATCGAAACGAAAGCAATTCATGCAAGATGATTTTCATTGTCATGTTGACCCTTTTGACAAAGAAAGACAACTTGATGACCGTTCAATTGAAATGGAAGAAGGCCAATCATGTTTCATTTGATGATATCAACATATTGTTTTTATTCACAGCATTTTTCGACATCCTCACAAACGGTTTGCACAAAACAATTACAAGAAAAAAAAATATATACAGTGGAACAACTGCCACATACTTGCCCTTGGCCACCTGTGGATTCACCCACCGGTGCTGCTTTTTTTTTTTTTTGAGTGAGGGGACGGTGTGGTGGGGGGAGTAATTCCCCTGCCCCATTTTTGTGGAAAAATGCTAATTGGCAGAATATCTCTGTTTCTTCGAGAGCATTTGGGGGCAGGGGTAAAAAAAGTCAAATCTGTGCAACCAAGGGTGCCATATAGCCCATAAAATGTCCTTTGCTCAACAGCAACAACCTGCGAAAATCTTTTCATGAAAATCCACAGGAAGCTTCACGCCCCGCTGATCGGCTGCGTGTCATTGTTACGTCATGAAGAGGAGCGTCCCCGAAAGCAGCAGGCAGTTGGTGAAAAGCCTGATTGACAGGGAGATGCTGCACGCGCCCCCACAGTCCTTGGCGTTTTCCTGACACACACAAAAAAGAGATTGTTTCAAAAAGTCAAGCAGAAGACGTTCCATGTTTTAACGTGCCGTTGTCAAATCCAGCCCCTTTCAATTTATGGAGCCGGCGAAAGTTGCGCCTCTCCTTTCTCCGATGAGCACTTTGAAAGAGTCATTCGTGTCTTCGTCACATCCTGGCTGGGTTACTGTCATGCGCTTGACTTTGGAGTCAGCCAATCCTCCATTGAGCCTCTCCAGTTGGTCCAGAATGCTGCCGCTCGCCTCTTGACTGCTACTCGGAAGAGGGAGTACATCACTCCTGCTTTGGTATTCCTTCCCTGACTCTCTCTACATTTTAGAGTTCTTTTGAAGTTGCCATTATTTGTTTTAAGATTTTGCAATGCTACTGTAAAGCTAACGTACACATTTAGGGAACCAAAATATCTCGGTTTGGAGGTGGTACAGTTTAAATCTTAGGAAAACATTTTCGACAAGCTAAATAATGCGAAAGGTCAATTACGCAAAGAAATGTGTTTCGCGAACGTTGGCGGTCGAAGCCAACCAATCGGAGCCTGACCTTGGGGTGGTAGGCGTGGCAAGACTCGGGGCGCCTGCGTACTTTCTGCGACTTCATCCGGTTGCACTTGACCGTGGCGTTATGTTGGACGTCGTCAAGGAAAACGCGGCGCTGTCGCTTTGCGGTAGGCGGCCACTAGGTGGCGCCGCAAGCGCGTTTGGCAAAAGGATATATTTGATCTCTTTGGGCTCCAGCGGGATGGCGCCGTACTGGCGGGAACAGTCGCAGTTGGCCTCTGTCACCACCACCAACAAGTTGCTGTCCGGGACCTGCTGCACCACAAACATCCTGCAAAAAGGCGACATCCGCAAAACACCAAAAAGTCACGCAACACGACGACGTGAACTGAAATAGCAGCTCATCATTTATGGTCTGTTGCATGCATATACTCCACTGAAATTATGTGTGGTCGAATGCTCGACAGCTGATCATTTTAGGTGATGCTAAATACTCTCATGATATGCATCCGATGTTTATTTGAAACCTAAAACGGTATATCGAGCACTTTTTTAGGTGACTACCCGCTGATTCCACCCACCCATTCCACCCGTTATATTTGTCTCTTTGAATGCCAAGAGTAAAAATTTCAAAAAGGAAACCAGAGAACAAAGTGGAAAAGTGGGCGTGGGTGTGGGCGTGGGTGTGGGTGTGGGTGTGCGCGAACGGGCAGGCGATGTACTTCTGGCAACGTCCACATTTAATGATGCTGTTTGCCTCCTTGACGGACGGGTCGGACGTGAAGCCGGGATAGGCCGTCTCGCATGGAACCAGAGCCTCCACCTTCTTCTGCTTGTGACCTGCACACATACACGTGCACACACACACACCCACACCCACACACACACACACACACACACACACACACACACACACACACACACACACACACACACACACACACACACACGCGCGCAGACATACAATCAAATCCAGCAGGTGGTGTGCTGATGTTAAATGGAGGTTGAACTCACTGGTGTGATAGCCAGCCTTGGCTTCAATGATGATGATGATGATGATGATGATGATGGGCACGTGGAGGAGGAGGATGATGATGATGGTGGTGATGTCATAGGGGTAAAAACATGATAATGATGACAAGAAGCACACAAGGACGCCCCCTATAGAGCAGGAGCATTTTTTTTTTTTTGGATGACAGCGCTGCCTTGAGATACAAGCGATCTGACTTTACAGTATGTTTCATGAAGTTTTCGTTTCATTTGGGTGGGGGCCCGGATTCATTTCAGGTCAATGGGGAAAGATGATTTTTTTTTTCTTTTGAGTTTTTTGAGCATATTCACGGAACAAGCTCAGCTCGTATGTCAAGGCACGGCAGTATTATTGTTATATGATAACAACGAGCTGATTACCATCCACCAAATAATCCGAGTGCCACAAACCGCACAGGTTGAAGTCCAACACGAACCTTGGGAGACACACAATTTGGGCACATTTTACTCCACAAAGTTGGTTCGACACGACAATAGGAAGCAGAAAATACGTTTTGGTTCCCCACATGAGCACGTTGGAAAAGATCCATCGAAGGATGGCTGCCAGGTTGTAGAAAGGCTGCAGCCACAAAAAAAAAACAAAAAAAAACAAGAGTCAACATTGCCAGCAATCGCAAGTTCAATCACAAGAGCACAAAAGGTCAACAACTACAAATCAAGCCCACAAGTTGTTGCGAGGCTTCAACATGAAATTTGGCTTGTTAGGCCATTGGCGGAGCTACAGGGTGGCCGGGCATGGCCATGGCCACCCCTTGTCACTCTGTGGTCACCTCGATACCCCGGGCAAAATTTTGATATCTGGAGATTTAATGTTTTTTTTTTTCTGCCATCTTTACTTGGATACAGTATTCCGAGAACTCGTGATACTCTACCACAAGTTTTAAAAAAAATATATTAACTGCATATTTAAGATAATCATTGTAAATTTGATCTGCATGCAAGCTCCAAAATAATCTGCCTTCGGTAAAGAACGCGTGTTGCGTCTCGTGTGGTCCGTCGTGTGTTGCGGCGTGAACTGACGCTGAGCAGAGGCCTCGGAGCGCTGCTGGCGTGGTGATGGCTGTTCTTGCACATGGCCTGGTAGTCGAACAGCGACACTCTGCCAATGCAAACCCGCGTGACATTTCGTCAACAATGTGACAAATATGCAAAAAGCAGCACACAAAATGATTTATTTTTTTTTAAATGGAAAACCATTTCTTAAATTGGCAATAAATAAAGATGAATTTTTAACACTAAAAATGTTTTTTTTCCTCATTTAAAAGACATTGTAATCCTCTGAAAATATTTTTGGGGGTGGAAAAAAAGTTCTTTTTTTTTCTTGTGAAGAATTTGAAATCTTAAGAATGTGGAAAAAAAATGTAAATTCCAGCCAGAGTGTGCGTGTTTCCACGGAAACGGACTTTTTGTACATGCCCATCTTGATCAGCATCGCCATGACGGCGCCGTCCACTTCGCCCATGAACCGACCAACCTGGGGGGGAAGAAAAAAAAAAGACCCTGTGGTGTGTCAAAACGTCAAAATCGTTGTAGAGAAAACCAATTTGAGTTTTGATTTTGTGTGTGTGTGTGTGTGTGTGTGTGTGTGTGTGTGTGTGTGTGTGTGTGTGTGTGTGTGTGTGTGTTAATGGCCGAGGTTGATCTGCTGTGAGATGGCCAGCTGTCACCCGAACCAATCAAATGATGACACGATGGCGTCACATTCCATGGCTGGGAACGCTCGCGCATGCGATTGCGGTCAGTGTTCAAGGTGAGCGTGAAGGGCGTGCGGCTGATCCGGCGGCAAAGATTAGGGAAGCAAATCCTGCCTCATCACCCAGATGTTGTTGTTTTTTTCCCCTTGGAAATAATACTGTACTCCCCACTTTGACTCGTGACCTGCGACCTCTGAGCTCTCACCTCCTTGGTCTCCTTGGACAACAGGATGAAACCGTGATTGTCCACCAGCAGACACCTCAGATCCTGAAACGACGACACATTAGGTCAGCGTCACGTTAACGACAGGTCACGTGACGTGTCGTGACGTTGTGTCATGTATGCGTTTTGTCAACGTGATGTCGACGATGTCCCGGGAGATGCTGTGAGCTGTGCGGCGACGCTCACGGATGGTAAGGCACCGACATCGACAAATGTGCAAGCTGTCCCCGGGAAATTAAAGATCCACAATAACATTTGCGAAATTTTAAAAATAAATAAATAAATAAATATTATTACTAAGCAAATTGTCCTGCACTTCGGTCGATTGCATTTTTCATGAAAACAACATTTTGAATGGTGAATTTCACTGACCAAAGCATGTGGAGGTGGAGAGAGGAGAAGCGGCAGTAAAACAGGCCAAAATCCAAATATCAGGGGTACGAGACTATTTTGATTGAACCAAATTCACAGGTGCCAAAAGAAGGCTGAACTTGACATTTTCACTCCACTTTCCGTGTGCCATTTTTTTGCCTGCCCCGCTTCCCGAAATTGGAAATCCTTAAGAAATTTGATTTCTTCTTCTTTTTTAAAAGACATTAGTGTAATTCCATATCCACCCTGTAGTTCAAATATATCCATTTTTGAAAACAAAAGAAAATAATAAGTTGAAATTTGCACTTTTGTTCGTGTTACTTGATTTATTTTTTGTTTACTTTGAAAATACATTTTGGCTAAGCCACTGTAATGCAATGCGGTTAATGACAACATGCTAGTCGCATAAATGTTACTTCATGAATTTGCTAATTTGGTGCTGAAAAAAAAAACAAAAAAACCTCCTTCGCATTCCTTTCAGTTCTTTGAGTTGACCAAAGACAGAAACGGGAATTTTCACATGCGATGCGTGTCATGTGACGCGATGCCAAGTGTGATGCGACTTACGTCACGTTCACAGCTGAGGGGACACAAGCCTTCCACGTTGGAACACTGAGGCGCCCACCCACATGCACGCACGCCCACCAAGGTGGTCGTAACAACAAAAAAGGTCAATTAATTAGGGACACGGTGCACCAACTGTCACAAAGAAACAATCGAAGACACAAAAAAGGAAAACACTCACGTCTGTGTCGCTTGGCTAACAGGAAAAGAGACAAGAAATCATCAGAAATGGATTATGTTTTCTTCGAAATTTCTGATATGTTTAGAGTAAGTCTACTTTTGTGAATGATGTGCTCCTCATGAAGTACCACTGTGTGCCTTGGGGGGGCAGCACTGAGACTTGGCAGTCAATGATGTCTTGTTGATTTCACAGTTACACAGATAATTGAAAATGACATTTCAAATTAAATTGAATTAAAAAAAACTTATTTGTACATCAATGCATGCAACAAATGTCTTTTCTACATGCCAATTGAAATGCATGAGGGGGGGGGGGGTCTCTTTATTCCTTTGTTTAAAACCCCCAAATGCTTCAACAATTTGGAGGTCCACTTTGTAAGTGTAGTGACACACTGCCCCCTTTGGCTCGGAGGAAAATATTCAGCCTTAATGTAATTTGACATGGGTCCAAAAAAAAAAAAAAAAACGGAAAGACAAAAATGTCATTAGAAGCTGTCGGTTTTTATTAAGCACCGCCTACAGCTGCCACACAAACGGCGTGTGTGTGTGTGTGTGTGTGTGTGTGTGTGTGTGTGTGTGTGTGTGTGTGTGTGTGTGTGTGTGTGTAGTCACCTGCTTGGTGATGGCCCAGAAAGTCTTCTCCAGTAAGTCCAAGGACATCTGGAGGCCCACGGCTAAAAATAGAACACCCACACACACACACACACACACACACACACCGTTTAATTCTGGACTCCACATGTGGGAAGGCCACGCAGGCCATTAACGACAGCTGTGTGGCAGCAGATGGCATCTCTCTGCCTGTCGCTTTCCTTTTCACATGATGCTTGCTCACTCCAGGCAGCAGTGCGTGTGTGCGTGCGTGCGTGCGTGTGTGTCTGTGTGTGTGTGTGTGTGTGTGTGTGTGTGTGTGTGTGTGTGTGTGTGTGTGTGTGAGGGGCAGCTGAGAGAGCAGTTATGATGAAGATGAAGGTGATGACGAAGAGGATGAGGGGGAGGAGCATCCGGGACAAAGTGCGGTTGCGTTTGAGCTGCAGCAGCAAGTGGCTCAAGACTGGAGAGCACCCGCTGTGCTACGGACTCGTCCGGCGAAGCAGCCGATGGAGACTTTCAGCTTGGAGGTTCGAGCTCTTCACAGCATGGTGAGTGCATGTTTGGGATGCGTGGCTTTGGCTGGTCGGAGGCAAGTGTGTGCGTGTGTCATGACGTCTGTCCGGGGGCGTGCAGAGGGTGGGCGCTGGGGTGTCCACAGCACGGCACCCCTCGTGGTGTGGGAAGGCGTGAGCCAAATTTGAGGCATTGCTCAGGAACCGCACGCGCGCCATTAGGCTTTTAATTTGGGGGTCAAGGTTTCAGAGTAGGAAAATGAATTCAAGCCGGGTTTCAAACTCGGGTTTGCGTTTCAAAGTAGGGCAGTGTTTAACAGGAAGGCTTTCAAAGTAGGGTTAAAATTAGAGCTTTAAACCCATTCAAGTGACACCCCCCCAGGTCTGTCGTTGGGGTCAGGCAACAAACGGTCCCTTACGAACGATGACTCATTTGGCTTCTGTTTTCCAATTAGGGTCGAAACAAGGGTTAGGGCTTCAAAGTAGTGTTGGGAACCAGCGGCGTGCAGAGGGTGGGACCGAGAGGTTGAGCATCCAGCTGAAGGCGGCGAGGGGAGGGGCCTTCGTAGACCACTCATGTCATCTGAAGAGGACTGGCACTTTGGAGCCCGGCGGACGTTTTGGTTTGCGAGGACCTCAATGGCGGCGGCCCCCGCGGGCAGCTGTGATGGACCCTTTGTGGCGGGCTGACAAAGCAAGACGACGGACCCACAAAACAAAGAGCTCGGGGCGGCGTCTGAAATGGTTGTGCTTCAAAATGGAGTGAAAAAGCAAGAAAGGCCGGCGTGGCTTTTATTTCTCTTTTTCCCCTCCCTGTAAGCTGATGCTTTTAATCGTCCATCCGTCCGTCCGTCCGTCCGTCCGTCCGTCTGTCGGTCGCAGATTTTTGTCCAGCATTTTATCCTCACTCAGATGCTTCACGCAGTTGAAATAAAGCTTCCCAGGGATTATCCCATTAATTTCAGGATTACCGCCGCCAATTTAGTATCGGGTCTCACCGAAAGGGCAAAGATGTTAGCATTAGCATGTAGCGTTTGGACCAAAGACAAGCATGTAGCATGTCACTTAATTTTAAGGCCATGTCCAGACTTCCTTTCAATTTATTTTAGGATATGTTGGACTTGTCGGATTGGAATTGGAACAGGACAATTCCGATGTTTTCAATTCTGACCAAGGCATCGTTTGCGTGTGAACAAATCGAATCGGTGACGAGTATCGTGTCCGTGACATGTGACGGGGGGACAAAAGGCTCATACAAGGTTCTTCAAGTCTCGTCGTGTGTGCTCCACAGGATGTTCTGCTCAACCGGATCCCGGTGTGACCTATGGGGCGGCCGGACCAGCACCGACAAAAACCTTCTTGGCGCATCTTCTCTCACCTTGAATCCAAAAGGCTTCGATCGCTTCGACAGCACGGAACATTTTTGTTTCCTTCTCAGATGGTGCCGTCATGCCCGCTCTGGTTCTGCTTCTGGCGGTCCTGCTGGGCTCGGGGCGCTGCTGTCCCGGCGCGTGCACCTGCGACGGGAACACCAGCGACTGCTCGGGAGTGGACCCGATCAACTTGATGCCCCTCCTGTCTCTGCTGGATCAGGACTGTGTGACGTTGCGCCTCCTGCGGAACAACCTCTCCACCCTGGCGTCCGTTGACTTGACCAACCTCACCGGCCTGGAGGTCCTGGATATTTCCCAGAACCGGTTCTCCAGTCTGCCCTCGGGAGCCTTCTCAAATCTGGCTCGCCTGCGTTGGCTCAACCTGTCCACGAACCTTCTCGGAGCGCACATGTCCGCCGCGGACGACGGGACCAGGGAGGTGGAGCGGGGCCTGAACGGGGAGGTCTTCAGGGGTTTGTGGTGGCTCCGGGGTCTGGACCTGTCTTCCAACGGCCTCCCCTGGCTGCCTACGGGCCTGCTGGACGGACTCCAGAGGCTGTCGTGGTTATCGCTGGCCAGGAACCGTCTGGCCGTCCTGGAGAGGGTCACTTTTGAGCCTCTGACGGGACTCAAGCAGCTCGTCCTGGCCGGGAACCCCTGGGAATGCGACTGCAAGATGAGGGGCTTCAAACACTGGATGGAGTGGTTGGTCTACCGAGGTAAGCCTCAGGTCTCGTCAAGTCAAGTGGTCTCAAATGTTTTGGGTCCGTGGGGGAAAAAAGGAATATAGAACAAAGTCAAACTTCAAACCTCTACACGACCGCCAGTTTGTATTTCCGTGTCCATGATCCAGCAGGTTTGGGTCAGGACACCGCACAGCCTCCTCCCGCTAAACCAGAGCAAGAGGACTCTCCCACCAGCACAGTCCGCCTCTTGGCATCTCGGGCTGGTTACGGTTAATTGGTGCTAGGAATAGGCGTTAATCCTTGGGGAAAATTCTTCTCCTTTCCCTAAAAAGTTCAAAGCGCCGTTGTAGAAGCTCCCGCGAACTTCATGTTTTCTCCTCGGTTTTCTCAGATGGTCTGGTCGACGCCATGACTTGCAGTCTACCGAGGAACTTGTCGGGCCGGGACATCCGCGGGGTGCCAGCCGAGATGTTCGCCCGCTGCATGCGGAGCGCCGCCGGGGACTCCGGCACCAGGGAGTCGGCGTCGGGAGACCCGGGCCGCCCCTTGTGCCCGCCGGGCCGCCTCAGCGGCACGGACGAGTGCGTCCGGCCGCGCTACCGTCCGCTCAGCGTTCGACGGGCTCACGGTACGCAGATCGTGGCGGGCGTGGTGTGCGGTACCGTGTGCATCATGATGGTCGCGGCGGCCGCCTACGGCTGCGTCTACGCCTCGCTCATGGCGCGCTACCAGAGGCACCTGAAGAACCGCGGTCAGCCGCTCATGGCGCCGTCCGGATCGGACGGCGACCCGGAAGACGGGCCGCCGCCACTGGAGGAAGCGCCGCCCAAAGAGGCGTGCGTGGTGCACGGGTACCGCATCAGCAGCTTCTGATTTCCTGTCTAGTTGGCTGAATAAAAATCCCAAGATGGTGATTCAGGAGTGTTTGAGTCATCACTACAGCCTTCGGGTAAACTGTGTCGGCTGCATCCTAAAGACGCTGCAGAGTGATCCGGGAGTAGGGAACGAGTGAATGGATTCGAGTGGTTGGAAATCATTCACTCATTCCCTCCTCGCTCATCATCGCCTTCATTTTCAGGAACTATCTCGGCCCATGGGATGAAAATCCCACGCAGTGATTAAGAAATAGGCAATGAGTGAACAATTCCCAACACAGCGAGCATCTCCCCTCTTTGCACTTGCTGATGCTCTCAACCTGCAGCAAGACTGCCACCTACAGCCCACATTGAGCTACTACAGCTTGAACCAGCACCACCGGCAGTGACGACCAGCAAGCGTGTGACAGACACACAACGTGCGCTGCCAAAATTCTCCGTTGCTGTCCTGCGGGAAGAAATCTTCGTCCTCAATAACCCAACTGAGTTTTCTTCAATTGGTCGAGGACACGGAGCAGCTTGATGGGCCTCACATGGGGCCAATTGGGCAACGTGTCCTCAAGGGGCTCTCGTCCAACCCCTGCTTGATTGTTTTTTCTTTTTTTTTATGGATACACTTGAGGTCAGAAGTTGACATCACCTCAACATGGGAATGAATTCGAACTGATTTCTTTTGAATCAATGTGAATCGCTTGGAATTCGTGGGGCCAAAGGTTTGGCTGGGTCAATATTCACAAAAGTCCAAAATGGTGCAGTGATACAGACGACACAAATTGTCAGCGAAGCGTAGACCACAAGTCAATTGCTCCCGTGGTCTACTTTAGTCTGTACAGGGTTCAAGTCATGTCATGTATGAATGAGCCGTAGTCTTTCCCCGGCTGATTTTGGGCCCACTCCGGACCACCGAATTGTGGTCAAACACGAGGCAAGTCAACAACACAAAAAAAACAAACAAACAAAAACAAAACCAAAGGCAACATGACTTCCGGATGAACTTTGAAGAGGGAGAACTGACCTCCAGCCATGGCCGTCTTGCCTTGCGCCGATACGGTGACCGACGTGGTGCCCACGATGTACTTCGCGCCTACAAAAGACAAGAAAACAGCACGTGGAACACTGGCAACATGACAAGAACATGACGAGCGCGTAGAAATGTGACTGCGTCACGGCAACGACGACATCCATGCGGGCCGAGAACCACATGGCAAGAAAGTGACCTTTGTCGCTGACGGGGTAGTAGAAGAAGCTTCCCGGCGGGTTCTCCGCGGCCAGTCGGTACCACAGTGGGAAGTGGTCTACCGTGAACAGGTTGGCCTTATCTGCGGGGGTCAGGAACTTTCTGTGGCGTGAAAAACACACGTGGGTCACGCGGCGCCTGACGCGGGCGGCCGTGTCACGACGGGACGCGTGTTCTCACTTTGCCACGCGTGTCTCCACGCCGGCGTATCTCATGATCCTCATCAGGCCGGCACGCGTGCCCAGGAAGGCCGCCTCAATGCCGGGCTCCACCCTGTTGGCACACGCGCACGTGAGCAATCCGGGCACCGCCGCATTTTTTTTTTTTTTGTCGGCGACCTGTCGTCCAGCATGACGGCGTTCCAGTAAGCCTCCAGGGGCGCCGTCACCACCGCGTCAAACAAGGTTTGCTGCAGCAGAAGCTCGTCGCCTTGGCGACAACGCACACGGGTGGCATCACGGAACATGACGATATTTCACGGGCTGGTGAAGGGGACGCCGGCACGCCGGCACGCCGGCACGGCGGCCAACTTACATTCCAGATCGGGCTCCTTGCCCAGCAGGTAGCGAATGGCCGCCTGCAGCTGCGAGTACTTGCGGTGTGCGGGGTCGATGTCCGTCTCGCAGTACGTCCTGCGACACCAGTTGACGCCAAAATGTCAACCGGGGTCCGAGGATGTGATGTTCTCTATTGCGCTGATGAAAGCGAGTACCGTTCCTTTTTTCCGCCTTGAGTTGCTCCGATAACAATCGGAGCGCCCAAGCTAGCAAGAAAGCTAACGGCACAAATTGAATTTGCGTCCGGGTAGCTCACACGAGAAAGTTGAGTGACGGTAGACAACAACAGATGTCACAAATTCGCTCGGCTCTCCGTTAGCGTCGCCGCTCAGCTTCCGCTTAGATGTTAGCATCGAGTTAGAGCAGCTTTCGCATCAGTGAGAATACACGATGCAAAATTTACATTTGCTTATGAATCAAACTCATATCTTTGTTTTCCTAACGTTTGATTGAATTATTTACACTGGATAAACTAAAATCATTTCATGAGATAAATTCATAAAAAAAAAAATAAAACAAAATGAATAAATGCATATAAATGAACACACTTTAGAGAAGAGCTGATGGAATAAATTCAAGAAATACAGCAATCGTACCACTCGGACGCGATGCTGAGGTCGGGGGAGGTCAGGTCATGGAGCCCTGGCGGGTGCAAAGGTCAAAGTTCACCATGAGAGCAAAGCCTGACCAAAGTGAGCTGAGCTCAACTGCTGCAGTGCATTGTGAGAAGTCCAGCCTACCTTCTTCCACCGACACGTTTCCCACGAACATGAGCTGGCCGTGACCTCGGGTCAACACCATGCCAAAGCTGCACACACACACACACACACACACACACACACACACACACACACACACACACACACACACACACACACACACACACACACACACACACATAATCTACACAGGTAGATTGCACCCTGATGCCCTCTAGCGGATCTGCCTAAATCACAACACACTAAACAGCTTTTTAATTATGTACTGTACGTGCCATTTGGACGAGGAAGACGCCGTGTCCCTTCGTTAGGTGGGGTCAAAGTTCAGGGAGGGTGTCAAGTACATCATGTCAAGTCTCCTGTCAGTCTGCATGTGTTGCTCCATATTTGGTGTTCTATAGCCATACCTTAAACTCTAAGCTGTTGACTATGGAGCACCAAAGAAGAGGCTACCCTTGTAGCCTTAAAGGGTAAGAACACTGCATGATAAATGATCTTACCTGAAGGGAGTGTCGTCAATGTTTGTGTAGAAATATTCGTTGACCAGGAAAAGAGGTCTCCTCTGTTCATGTTGGACACAACAACAAATTGGATAGTTACGAGTTATCTTTTTTTTTGAAGAAGAAGAAGAAGAAAATACAAAGTCAAATGTCAAAACCTAAATTGACAAAACAAATGCTGAGAAACCAATGGAATCAAGTTCGGCGCACTGAGAAAGTGGCAACACAAGATGGCCGCCAGTGGACTCGCTTCTCGCAACGGGAGTTCTTCTCAAATAAATGAGGCGAGTCACCCTCGGGGGGCGCGTGTGTGACCCCAGGGAAAGCGCTTTTCTTTTTTTTTTGCCAGATTAGAAGAAAGTGTAATTGCACGTCCACTGCAGTAGGTGGCAGTGGCGCTGTCACGGAGTATAAACAATGATCATAAAAGTATTGGGCAAATTTATAATTAATTTTTTTGTTGATTTCTTGACTGTTAATGAGGATACAACGTTATTCCGAGGTGTACTTTTTTGTAGACAAATGATACTATCGATAGTGGCGGCAGAGAGTTGGAAGGGCGAGAAATATTCTCTTCCAAGAAATGAAGAAGCACTGCGCGACGGCGAGTCCAGCATCGGCACGCCCGTGTGTGGCAGCAACACGCGTCCGTCGCTGGGGACTCACCCCGTTCTCCACCGAGGCTCGGATCTTCAGCGTGTGCCTTCCCGTCTCGCCCCGCACCATGGCCGTCCGCAGCTGCAGGCGACACAAAAGACGCACGCGGTCAGTCGGCAATGGCGTCCGTTCCCGGCGGGAACGGCCTCGGCGCAGTTACCGTCTCGTCGGCATCCTCCCACTCCACCTCGGACAGATCCACGCTGTTGTAGTTGGGCTTGGGCTTCAGCTTCTTGCCGTCCTTGTACTGAAAACAGCACGCGCCACAAATGAAAGCATTTGCGCCGCATTTAAAGTGGAGCTCGGGTTGCAAAGTAGGGTTGCAAACGAGCGTTAGGGTTTCAAAATAGGATTTTCAATTCGGGTTAGGTTTCAAAGTCGGGTTTTACACTCAGGTTAGGGTTTCAAAATAGGGCTTTAAATTTGAGGTCAGTTTTAAACCAAGGCTTGGCTTTGAAAGTATATGGTTAGGGCTTCACAGTAAGGGTTCGGGTTCAATTTGCAATTTATTTGATTTGGTGGAATTTTTTCTCCCCAAAATTCTGTCACTTTGGTCATTCATTCATATTTCAAAATTCCAAAATTTTTCTTTGAAAATGTAAAATAGGTTCTCCCAAGATGTCAAGATTCTTTACATCAAATTCTAAATGGTAATATTACTTTGGGATTTTGAAAAATGTGTTTGTCTGTGGAAAAAAAATGAATGAATAAATTCAGTGTGAATGATTTCCAAAAGGTGATTGTGTCCAGTGCAGCATGAGGTCACCAGCGGTCGGAGGTCGGGGTGCGCCAGGATGTAGCCGTTGTTGGTGATGAGGAAGGCGTAGCCGTGCGCGCCCAGCTGAGGAGACGCAAAAAAAAAAAAAAAGTTAGGATGAGGATGACAAGGATGCCGATGTTGGTGAGGGTGACGGCGACGAGTAAAAGGACGCGCGGGTGTGCAAGTGGACCCACCATGTAGCGGGGCGCCAGCCTCATCACCTCCATGAGGGGAACGTCGGTGCCCACCACGCCCAGAAGGATCCCGTGCGACAGCTGCACACACGCAACAACACAATGCTGGTACACATTCAGGATTGAAACCCTAATTTACAACCCTACTTTGAAACACTAACCCGAGTTTCAAACTCGAACTCTCATCTGAAATCCAACTTTGATCCAGAAACCAAGTTTGAAACCTGAATGTGAAACCGTGGCCTAAGCGAAGACCCTAATCCTAATTTGAAACCCTATTTTGAATCCCCAGCACATCTTTAAAACCCGACATTGAAACCTTAACCCCAGTCTAAAATTCTAAGCCTCGTTAGAAATCCTACTTTGAAAACATAACTCTCGTTCTTGGAAACCCTAACCATGAGTTAAAACCCTCCTTCCGAAATCCTGCACCAAGTTTGAAACCTGACTTTGAAATTCTCACCCAAGATTAAAACCCCACTTCAGAACCTTAATCCTAGTTTAAATTTACATTTTGAAACTGTAATCCAACTTCAAAACCGTAATTTAAACCCCTAAACTTGGTTTAAAACTGGAATTTGAAATTTGAATTTGAAATCTTGACCCAAGTTTGAAGATCGAATTCCAAACCTGAACCCAAGTTTAAAAATTCTTGTTGGAAATGTGACCCCTATTTTAAAACCCCAATGTGGAAAAGCCAAAATTGAAATCCTAATCCTGGTTTAAAACCCTATTTCTAATCTAAACACTCCCTGAAGAAAACCTAGTTTGATGGCCAGTAAAACCCCAACCCATGCTTGAGCCCCAAACCTTTTGCTCAACAAATTCAACCAAGCCGCCATGAAAAACACGCCACAGACACGCGAACGAAAGGCGCCACTCACCGTCTCCTTCTTCTTGCTGAAGACGGGCATGGCCACCGACGTCATCAGCAGCAGACTTTGCGCCTTGGTGCTGAAAAGCTGACACGACGACAACGACCACAATATTGTTAAAAACCACAAGTGCACTCGCTGCACCGCTTTGGACGCTTGGACGGCAGGCATGCAGGAGCAAAGCACGAATGAGTGCAATGGTTTACACACACACAAGATTACGCCCACATACACAAACGCGCACTCCCAATGCGTGTAAAGTGATGAAAGCATGATTACCTCGTTGGTATTGGGAAGCTGACGGCAGGGCCGTCCACAGTTAGATGAAGAGGATGAAGACGATGAGGATGAAGGTGAAAAAAAACGGTGTCAAGATGAAGATGAAGAGGACGGAGACGGTGCCGAGAGGCGCGCCCGCGCAGGCGCCAGCCTGCCGTGCGTGGCCTGTATGAGCGAGCGGGGGGTCGGGCTCTCACCACGGTGTCCATGTAGGCTTCGGTCCAGATGATGTCGTGGTCGTGGTTGATGACCATGGGCCGACTCAGCACGTGCAGGTACTCCATCACGTTCTCCTGCACGTCGGCCAGCGTCGACACGTGCGTGTAGTAGCCTGGACACGCGCGCGCACGCGGGTCAGCTTCGAACCATACTAGCTTAACCCAATTTCAAACCCCTTTCCATACTTGCAACGAGAGACCCCCACGGCAGATTCTAAACTTATTTCCAGGTGCCGTTATTCGTGAAGGATGCCGATACCGGCCACCGATGCTTAAAGCCAAAAGTAGTTGGTGCATTGCCAGCGGCGGGTGCACCGGACACATCGGCGAATCACAAAGGTCTTTTTGTTGACCGTCATCTGTCATTGTGTTTTGGATCTCGTGGTGTCGGTACTTGGAATTGGTACCGGTGAGCACTCACAAGTCAATATTTGTACTGGTCTAGAACGTGCACACAGTGGCAAGACTAAACGCGCACGCCGAGCCTTTTGACCTTTGTTGTTGCAGGCGATCCACTTGGTGTTTTGGGCGAACGTCATCTCTCGGCCAATCAAGTATGTGAAGACGCGCACCTGAAAAGAGGAAACGAGATGGACTGGGTTTTTGCGAGCACGCCGCAGGGATTCATGGAGGCGCGGCTCGAGTGAGCGGGCGGAGCGCTCACCCTGCGCTCAGGCCAGTTGAACTCCTCAAAGACCGACTCAAAGTCCTCCATGGCGCCGTCCGTGATCAGCATGATGGCCTGGTTGCACATGCTGCCCTGACCCAAAACACGAGCCTGCACACGCACGCACGCACGCGTTCACGTTTATCCCTCATTTGCGAACACGTTGGTGTGTGATGTCGAAGCC